CCCTATTGTTTCTTCACCTTCCGGATCGTGTCGTCCGCATAGGGACCGGAAAGAACTGTTTCCTGACAGTGAGACAATTCTCCCTCTAAGCATTCCCAAACAGTAAGAGCAATGAAGTTATACTGAGAGGCAATAATATGACCTATTATTTGTTGTATTTTTAATGGCTCTCTCTATATACAGTATAGGGCCTTGCAGAAATATTCGCTCCAATGATGGCCCGTTTTGTTGAATTACAAATGAGAGTACATACAAAATACAAAATGTACATACATGTATTATTTTACGCACATGTACAAACATTTACACATGTACAAACATGTACAAACATTTATTAAAATATAATTTTATGATCTATATTTGGAATATTTTGAATCAAAACTTAACTGAACAGGAAAGGAGTTCAATGTCTGTAAAAAAACTGTAGAAAAATCGAAAACTAAAATATGCTGACTACATAAGTATTCACCCCCTTGAGTCAATATTTGGTGGAATCCTGTTTGACAGCAATTACAGCTGCAAGTCTGGTTCATCTCTGCCAGGTGGTGCTATTTTTGCCCATTCTTCTTTGTAAACTTACTCAGGCTGTGGGGATTCTGGGGAGCATTGTTAGACAGCAGTTTTTAAGTGTTGGCACAGACTTTCGAACAGATGCAAGTCGGACTTTGACTTGGACACTGACAGACATTCACTTCTTGTGAAGCAACTCCAATGTACTGTAGTTTTTGTCTTGTGCTTTGGGTAATTTTCATTCTTCTTTCAAGTCGTTAGCACGTATTCCTCTATGATTTGTCTGCATTTGCTCCATCCATTACCCCATCGTACTTGAAAAGCTTTCCAGTCCCTGATGATGAGAAGCAGCCCTGTGACATAATGCAGACACCATGTTGCTTGACAGGAGGGATGGTTCCACTTTTGTCTTGTGTGATCAGAAAAGCTTTTGTGACTTGTTTTGTAGTATCACTTTTAGGATTTTTTTTATTGCAAATACCATGCACAATTTAAGATGTTTTTTATTCAGTAATGGCTTCCTGCTTTCCTCTCTGCTATACAAGCCGGCTTTGACTCATGGACATTTGGTCTTATCTTATTCATTGAACCCTGGAGCTCTGTCCCAGTCATTGTTGGCATAACAGTGGCATCTCTTACCAATGTCCCCCCTTTCTCAGCTTTTCAGTTTGGAAAGACAGCCTGATATACAGTAGGTAGTGTCTTTGTGCTATGATACACCTTCGACGTCTTAATGATTCCACCATGTTCAATGGGGTTTCAGCATCTTGAATGTTTTAACACTCTTCTCCTGTGCTTTTCTATAACTTTATATTTGCGTGCCCATTCATGTTTGATCATATTAGAACTAAAACATACTTTGTGTTCAACCCAGTGATTTCAAGGGATGATAGGTTTAGGGACTTTAAAGGTCAGAATTCCCTCTGCTGCTGTCGTCACCAGTTTCATTATCAGCAGAGACCAGTGAGCCATGCTTGCCCACACCAGACAAGGCTTTACAGATGAGATTACGTTCTTTGAAGCATTTGCTGTTCCTTTCTTTCTCTACACAATAACCTTTTCGACATTTTGGAATGTGATGGTATGTCATGTTGTCTTCTGTCCATATTACTGAACATTATTCCAAAGCTCATCTTCATCCTGTACTTCCCAAGGAATTCTTAAGCACGGTGGAGGTAATGTCATGGCCTGGTCATAATGTACTGTACATGGCCATCTCAGGAATGAAGAAATGAAAGGTACGGTATAATGAAATATTAGGAAACCATGTTTTGAACATCCCATGATTCTTTAGTTCTTGGTGCAAGAAGGCAAAAAAATACCCAAGACGTGGTGAACAGCTCTACTGCATCCCACAAGTCAACACTTGGTGTCTAAACTCTGGGGAGCAGGACCCATGACAGGACTGTTTCACTGGTCCACAGCTCAGAAAACAAGGAATGGACCCTAGGTGAGTTTCAAGATCACAAAAATCCTAAGCCAGTAAATTAGGGAAGTCCAAGGTCAGGGTCAAGAGGCGAGCGAAAGTCAAAAGCCAGAAGACAAATTCAGCATCAAGTGCAAGAGACACGATCCAAAAACCAAGGTCAAAAAACAGGCCAAAATCCAAAAGTCAGGCAAAGAGTCCTGGAAGAATCCAGCAAAGGCTGAGCTGAAAACAATACTGAGCAAAGCTTGAACAAAGAGCAGGGTTTAAGTAGGTTTGGGGAGGGGAGGCATGGTGAGGTACTGTAGAGAAACTGGGCAAGCAGGGATACTACTGGCTACTGCCGTCTGCTTGATCTACGCCTCTGCTGTACAGATGAAGTAGGCACCAGAGGTTGAGGTGCCCTCTGGTGGCGGGATGCTGGGACTGTAACAAGGACTAAGTGAAGACATATTATTGATACTGTTGCCTCTGTTCTTCAGTCTACTAACGAGAAAATATTAAACTATGACGATTCTTTGAGGAATCTAAAGTATCCAAAACAGAAGCAGTATATGCAGTACAGAGTAGTTTTATTTAAATAAACTAATTCTACACATATCAGCAACTGATACTTAACGCATTTCTAATGAAAGTAGGTGAGAGATGAAGGCAACCGGACTAATTAAGCACAGCTGCCGCAACTCGCAACTAATCCTGAAGTAATTGCCTCAGTTTCCATATATACCCCATATCACTCTATCCCTCCTCCACCCCATCTCCACCTGTGCAGCTACTCCTTGGTCCCCTTCTACCAAGCACAGAGGTCCCAGCCTCTTCGTCCTGTGGCTAGGAGGTTGGCCCTCAGCCAAGCGGCTTAAGCCAAAGTTTTCACCAAATCTGATAAATGATGCTACTGTCACACAATCTTCAGCTGCTGCCATTCCTTGTGAATATGTTTTAATTACTTTTCTACTAATTAAATTAATGGTTCATAATACTGCTTTCTTCTGCATCCCACCTGTTCTTGAATTTGAACTTTATTGCCATGTGTAAAACAGATACCTGTATGGGTACAATGGAATTTTTACAGAAAGTCACTTGATTGATTAATAAAGTGTAAAACACAAAGTGCAGACAGTGCATCAAGACAATATACAAACAAACTGTAGACAATGTACAAGTAAACGAGTAAACAGTTTGAATGTAAACAATGCAGACACGTAAACAATGACTGCACATGTGCAATAAATAAAATTACAATGAGGTAGATGGTGTAGGTGTGGTCCGAGGGGCATGGCCAAATGTGTTCACCCATCTCACAGCTTGTGGGTAGAAGCTATTGAGGAATCTGGTGGTAAGTGTCCGTATGCTCTTGTATCTCTTGCCTGAGGGCAGTGGGGTGAAGAGCTCATGCCCGGGGTGGTGACTTTCCTCTGTGATGGCCAGAATTCTATCACGGCAGCGGTCCATGTAGAACTGTTTAATCTCGGTGAGACCACACCCGATGATCTTCTGGGCCACATTCACCGTTCTCTGCAGTGCCTTTCTCTTTCAAGAAGAGTGTTGCTGTACCACACGGTGATCCCGTTGGTGAGGACGCTCTCGATTGTGCAGAGGTAGAAGTTCACCAACACAGGTACTGGCATCCCCCATCGCTTGAGGCACCTCAGGAAATAGAGGCGCTGCTGAGCCTTCTTCAAGATAGAGTCAATGTTCACACCCCAGGTTAAATCATTAGAAATGTGAATTCCCAAAAAACTAAAGCTGGTGACTGTTTTCTCTTCACTAGACAGAGTCCTTGCAGCCTTGCATTCACAAATATATTGTGAATATATTTTAGTTAAATTCTTGCAAGCAGAAAGCATGCTAATCAGTGTGTAATTGTTGTGGTCCTTTTTACTTGTGCAGTAGACTTGCTCTGTATACAGTATGTCTAATATAATATTTTATATTATATAACCTACATCTATATATTATATATAAACTATATATAAACTACAATATTTTCAAGTTTATTTATCTACATCGTGGCAATGGTGAATACCTAAAAAGGTAAATATTTTTGTAGAGGAGATATAAAATGCCCTAATTATGCCATTAGTGGAATTCTGGGTACCATCCTTGTAAAGATTATTTCAACCTTGTTCATATGGTCTAGCAATTCATAGACAATTCTTCAAACTTCCTGTTAAATAAATCACTTAATCACTTCTGATTGGTTGAAAGACTAATTTTTTTTTAATTTGTCCATTTTCATGTTTTTACCTAAGAAAAAAATTGAAACAGTACCACCCCTACCTCGCTGGCGTGTTGGATTATCATAATGTATCTCCAACAGGACATAGACAGGATCTATTGAGGTACCAATGGAAAGCCCAACATGAGGTGGATAAGTAAAACCCTGGAGGTCATAAAATAATAGTTTAACCACTTACAACCTGTTAGATAACAAAGACAGAATTACTAGATACATCAGTACAAGTTTTGATTTCATATGTTTAAATATTCCCTATGTTAAAAGGAATATATAAGTATTGTGTTAGAAGATGTGGGAGAGACTAAACAGCAAATAAATATAGTCATTATTGCCAAAGGGTTATCTCATCACTATTCAAGACTGAACTTAATATATTTCATACTGTTCAAAATGAGCTTTGATTTAAGGAAAGTTTAATAACTTTGATTATTTTTTTCATGATCTGAGTGTGATGAATTTAACTATCCCTGTCTCTATCAGATTCGATGTGAGATAGGTTGGCACAGTGCCATTCCTCAGACATTTCCCACACACACTGAGCCTTGTACTGTAAGACCACCGTAACATAATAACAATTACTTACCCCTCCTCCTATTGCCCAGGCAAAGACAACACTTTCACATGTGAGAAAAGAGTCTGGCATGTTGGGATGGTAGCATTCATGACCAATATCGAGTTGACTCTCATTTAAATTACTATCACACTGATACAGCAAGATGTGATGAACCAGATTGGAATGTCCTGTCTGAATCAAAGGCTCAATCTATAGTTGACAAAAGGAGAAGAATGAAAACAACAACAACATTAATGAGTGGCAAGTTCTGATGCAGGAAAAGATGAAACACTCATAAACTATTCACAAATCAAATATAATCACACTAAATTAAATGCGACAGTAATAGATTCGTTTTTTAAATGTTTGCAACTTCACTTTGCAGACTTTGAATATACAACTTTGTAACTTTGCATATACTGTACAGTAGTGTATCACAGCAACAACATATTTAGTTGTTACTGTGAGACACTCTGAACTGTATATACACCATTAAATACAAAAATATAATCACAAAATTGTGCATTGGGAAAGAAAGAAAAAGGAGCACACAAGTTACAGATGTTCAGAGTATAATTTACCGTAGCTTTTTTGTAGTTTTTGTGGAAAATTAAATTTGAATATATGTAGAAACTACAAGGAATGCTTTGTCTGTAATGCACATCGAGAAAAAACAATTCTCCTGTTGCAAAGTAAATAATATATTTTTAGAAATATTTTCTTATACTGATTGCATACAGCCCTTGGTTTATTGGTTGAATATCAACACTCT